TTTCTCCCAAGCGTAAGGATCAGCGTAAACTCAAAAATCTTGTGCTACATCTAGTGAAAATAGGTGTGCGGAGTTTAAAAGTTGCACATATTTTTGGCAAGGAAAAAGGGCATTTTTTTCCCAAATTTCAGCTGTTACGGTGGTTTGCAATAACAAAGGGACTTTAAACTACATCTACATTGCAGATGACCTAAATCGAGCAATAGCTTCGTGAGAGTTTTTGCGTTAACGGACTGTCGCGCAGTGCACAATGTGTCTTCTTACGCTCGAATTTCGCCCAGCCGCCCGAAATATTACACACAAATGGGAATAATCGTCGGCTGCATTGCTGTGTGCGACATTGGGCCGTTGGGCCCATGTCGTATCTTTGCGGGCTACCACGGGAACTTGCGTTTCTTCCCCTCATTCTAGCTTGTCTTCAGCTCTATTTAGCGATCGTCAGCGGTTGTGCGGCGGAAATCTGTCTTCGGATCGATAGCTGGCTTTGGAGCACGCTGGAAAACAAGCGAATCTAGATGGCAGGGAGTGAAATTGCATTTTGCCCGATCGCGTCGAGCGAAAACTATGCTGGCGGGGTTTTTATGGTGGCGCGCGGCCTGCCTTGTTGTAGTCGGTGCCGTTCGCTCGAACATAGCTCGTTGATGAGTCACAGCCGCGACTTCTCACCCCGTCGATCCACTGCGGCTCCTTCTGATCGCGCTCATCCCACTTCGTGAAACGACCTGCGAAACGCTGCCGGTTAATTTCTGTCAAAGCCAGTTGATTTCTCTCATTTGCATATACGGCGCGATAGCGATAGGTGGCGCCGTCGTGTAATTCTGGCCCAGTTTCGCGCTCTTCGGACCGCCTGACGATCACCATTCACTGCATCTAGCTCTCGCTCTCGTTATTGCTTCCCTTCTCGTCTTCGTTTCAATTCGCTCAGCGCTCCTCCTCCCATTTTTTCCATTTTGCCGGGGCCAAAACAAGCCAAGACAACTCGCCAACCAGCCAACTCTTCATTTACTCCTATTTTCCGACAAGTCGATTGATTACGACAAGTTTTCCGCAGTATTCTGAAATTTAGGTTAGTATAGGATCTTATCATGCTCCAATTATAGCATTATCATAATTGAGAGTAGAATCTCTTCCATACTTTCGTATATGGTCTTAGGGAGGGCAAACTTCTCTAAAGTCAGCACATTAAGAAATGT